GCTATAAACTTTTAATTAACATGTAGGAATTTGCTTTCTGAAAAAGAAAAAAAAATGTAGGAATTTGCTTATGTCAATCAGGTGATGCATGGCGAGCATATTGGTGACAACTAGAAGCAATTATTACTTCGGTTCGGTTGTGTTTTCCATATTGTTAAATGTTAATTATCAGCGAGGCAAAATCATTCGAGGTTTAACATTGGCTTAACATTTGATCTATGTAACCAAACTGAACAAGGACTAGGAGAGGGATGGTTTGAATTGTCTTGATGAAGTACAAATAACTACTACTATAAAAAAATAAAAATAAAAAAGTTAATGACATGTAAAGATTTGGTAAAAATCTAAAATTGCTTACCTGACTTGGTCGTTAGACACTGAGGTACTTCGATAATTAATTTATAGCTCATAATTATAAGAGGACTTTAATTTCGTGTGGATAATGCTGGTTCATATTCTGACCGAAAATGAAAATTATCATAAATAACTTTTTTTTTTGTTTATATTTATAACTATTGTAGTACCGAATTCTTTAGTGTTCTTCTTGTTTTTAAATTATATGTTGTTATGGTTGGTATGTTGTTTAGTATTGAAAAACTTTAATATTAAGTAATTTTTCATGATTTTGTATTAGTAGAAGAGTGTCTTTGAGCAAATATCAAGTTAGATTTATAGAAGAAAAGTATGTAAGATTTTTTTTAGAAATGAGTTTCATTAGTTCATTTCTTTAGAGGTGTTAGAGAAAGAGTAATAAGAGAAGTTTTGAAAATTACGAAACCTTCATTTTTTTCTTGTTAGATTTTTGAGCAGAGATTTAGACTTGAAGAATGGGAAATTTATTTAGGGGTGTTAGAAACTCCATGAAGCTTCCTTTTTTTCTTTTTCTTCTTCTTCTCTCACAAGTTTGGGAGATCTTGAAGAGGTAAAGGAAGCTAGATTCAGTTTTCATACGTGTTGTTTGATTGGTTATTGATCTATGAAAAATCCAAACTTGGTTGAAAATCACTAAAATTTGTGGTGGGTAGTGAATTGATTTCTTGTTGAAGTTTGAGTTCTAAGGTCTCTTGAACATATGTAAGAATTTAAGGTGATAGATAGTTGAATGTAGATGCATGTTGAATCTGGTAATGAAATTAAGTTGTAAATGATGTTTATAAATGAAATTTGGTATTGTATGTGGTTAGTTGATATGCTAAGTATGAATTGATGTGGTTGTTATTCGCATATGTATTTTTTTTTTTTGGTTTTGATTACTCAAAGCATCATTGAGGTCGCTTAGAGTAAATAGATGTAATTAGACTAAGGTGTTCTTTTCAATAATCATCTCTCAAAAACTCAACTCACAAGTTCTATGACGGACGAAATTTCAGTATAAGTTTTTATGATAAAATTTGGTAAATCTCTCTTCAATAACCGTCTCTTTTATTTAGGGTTGTAACTCCCTCTATATGTCAAATCATTATTTTTATCTTAAACACCTTTATTTATTAATTTAATTAACATCTTAATTTTAAAAGAAAAAAACACATATCTAAAATAAAGAAATTAAACATTTTCAATTTTAAACAATATCTTAAAAATATATAATATTATATCAAAATAATATTTTAAAATTTTAAAATTTAAATCATTATTGTAACACAATTTTTACTTTACACCCTGATTTTATAAAATTCACATGTACTAATTAATTTATATATTTCTATATAACATTATTTCTCCTGCATCAATTACTAAACATTCCTAATAAGATTTACCTTTAAGGAGTGGTTACCCAGTTTTACATCTATTCGTGTATATCCCTTAAACCTTAAAATATAAAATTGGCTACATGGCCATTGGAACAAAATTATTAACATCTATCTTAATTCAGTCCAAAAACAAACATTTATGGTAAAAGTGATGCCAATACAATCACAAACCGTCCAATTCACTTTACCAAACCAAAAGGACAATTTGAAATACAAAGCTTATAGTTGTTGTCGCTTTAATTTTCCTATAACCTAATCCTCTCGGAACTTGAATCTTGATAAATAAAGAACATTTTGTTAATGATGATTGATTTGTAAGGTTGCCAACTTGAAACGTGCGTTTGTGTACTATCGTGGGTCAGAGCTTCAGATTTTTCTGCCTATATGCCTAAACGACACGGCATATAGAAAAATGGCATGCAAGTGCATAAAATAATGACAAAGACTTCAACGAATGAAATAAAAAAAGAATGAATGTATAATGTACCCTTGAACAAAAAATTTGTATAGAAATAGAAGTCAAATGTTCAAACTTTGTTAAAGGCATTAATCATAATGTGGAAATATAAAATGGTACGATTCTTTTTTAAATCCTTTAGAAAATTGAAACGACATCTATTAATAACTTAAGTTCTTTTATGTCTAGTTTAACCTTCATTATTAAACCGGTTATAGTAATTCAAAACAATACATAATGAATATTTTAATGTATAGATATGTTTGTTATATATAATTAAAATTTATATTAATTTATATATATATATATATATATTATTTGATTTTTAAATTATATTTAAAATTAATATATATAAATATTTTGAATATATAAATTATATTTTAAATTTATGATAAATAATTGTATTATAATAAAATTTATTTTATTTTTTATTGATAATTTATTTTAAATTATTAATATTTAATACATAAATAATCATGATAAATAAAAATTAAATTAGATAAAAAGTTAAAAAAATATTTACAAACCTTCTCGTTAAAGAATACTCTTAAAGATAAATGTTTGTGATTAATATATAAGAGTTGATATAATTCCAATTAATGATGTTTAATATATACTAATGTTTTAGTCTGTGTAATGCATAGAAAAATATTATGTAGAACATTATTTTTTATCCTTCAAATTAAAATTTGATTTTTTATCCTTCAAATTAAAATTTGATTTTTTAGTTTTATAATTTGAAAAATTTTATTTTATCCCGCCCTTTGAGGTACCTTCAACGTAGCGAGGAGATTAGTCACTGCTATGCGGTGGATACTCCAGGAACGAACCAAAAAAAAAATTGTCAAATAAAACTCACATATTGTTGAATTTGTCACATAAATTAACCCTATATGTCAATGTCTTTATTAGTGAAAACATCATATGATTAAACTCAATTAATGTTACATACTTGTCTCAATTTGTGACTTAAAAAAAGATTTTTAAAATTACAATGACTATAAAAATCAATTTAAAATTTATGAGATTAAAAAAAGTTATCTTAAATTTAAAAATAAATTTGAAATACTAAAACATTATTTAAACATGTATATATATCATTCTTAATTATTTCTATCATTATAGTGTTATTATCACTATCATCATTATTATTGTTAAAATTACTACCATCATTATACCACCATCATTATTAGTGATAGTGATGACAATAACAATAATGATTATAGTGACAATGATGATAGTAATAGTGTGATGATAACAATGATAATTATGACGATAACAATGATAATTATGACGTGTGGTAATGTGATAGTAACAATAATAATGGTTATGGTGATAATAATAACAATTATTATAATAATTATGATAATGACAATGATAATGATAAACATAATGATCATTGGTGAATTAAGACTTGAGTTAACAAGGACAAATTTTTAATAAAAAATTAATAATAATTATCATCATATATAAGAAGAGTAAAATATAAATATTGAAAATAATCATTAATAGGTCAATATACAAAATTAGAGAGTGCAAAATAAAAAAACTAGATATGTACTATTAAGCAGGGGAGTGCAATTGTCCACCCTAAAAAATAGTTAAATCCATCACTGATGATGGTGATGATACTTAATAGTTTTATTTGTAATTTTTAATTTGGATAGATTTTGTATAGTTTAAATTTAAGGTCATCTTGTTACTAATTTTTACCCTACAATAAGTAAAAAACAATATATATATAACACAAATAAGTATAAAAGAAAGAATATATTGTTACAACATTAAAGATGTGTACCTTATCTACAGGTTCAATCTTAGGTTGTGATAATAAGATGATGAATTTTAAAATTTAAAATAATTAAAATTTGAATTATTTCGATAAAAAAAGGAAAAAGAAATATATAAAAAGTATATTAATAATAAGAACCTAAACCAATATGAATAAAAATAAATAAATAAATAAAACTATAAAATTATAATCTCTAAAATCTTATTCAATTTGTAAAAGTATGATATATGGTATAAAAGTATTTGTTTTGTACTCGTACAATATTATTTATATTAGTATTAAATTATTATATAAAAAATTATAATTAAAAGTTCGTTTGATTTGGGAAAAAAATTAATTTTTAATTGTAAATACTCGGTCAATTAATATTATCATAATTAGTAAATAAAAATCTAAAGGTCAAATATTAAAGCAACACAAAAAATGGATCAACTTAAACAAAATTAAGTTCAATTCAATAGAATTATTGTAAATTAAGTAAAACATGTTTTAGATTAATTGTGCCATTCTTTGTCTTGGGACAAAATAAATTAAACTAAAAAAACACAACAAATTGGATGTTTGGATGTTAATCTAATAACACGAGGGAAAAAAAATCACATGCCATACAAGAATGTCTAGCTCCAAGTCACTTTCGTAGACTAAGTATGTCTCAATAATAATAGTAAACAAGTTTTAACAAATGCTTGTCAGCATAATTATCACTTTAATTAAGTACAATATTATCTCTTTTCACAAACATCTTTAATTTGTAATATTTCCAATGACTTTTATGAAAACATATAGTATCATACTAATGAAACTAGTTAATATTTTCAATGATTAAAAAAAATAGAAAAATATTGAATGTCATATTTACGTAACAATAACAACAATAAAGTACATATTAAATCACAACTTCTTAAAATTATTTAAATTTTGATTTAAATGAGTTAAGGTTTCATGAAAGTAACATAACACATTATTTCATCTATTGAAAATAATATTTTGCTATCGATAATGTAATTACATAACATAAATATACATATGATTTCTATTTGTTACCTGTTTACAAAATGTCGTATATTTGACAAAGAGTAGAGAATGAGAGATTTACATTTCTATAGTTGTAGAAACTAACAAAACTTATGAGATTCATCCAAGTCAACTTGAGGGAAATCAATTAACTATACAAACAACATTTTGTTTGCACCTTTCTGCTAATCAATAACTATTGATGTTTCTAATAACAAATCAAAATGTGGAATAACACCAAGAATTACATTAAGCATGAAAATGGTCAAAATGTTATTATAGGGTTGAGTTATGACTTCTATTCAGGTTGAGGGGGTAGACCATCATTCCTAATTATGCTTCCAGATGAATTTGGACCCTCAACCATTTCGGATGCCTCAGACTCAGAATCTGTTATTAAAATTTGATTGAATCAAAAAGTTAATGTTACAAATAAAAAACAAAAAATGTGTACTCAAAACAACATAAACAAAAATATTTGCAAAAACTACAACAAATATAAGCATACCAAATAGGGACTTGACAGATGGTCTCTTTGCTTTAGAGGTTTTCTTTTTTAACTCAGCTGAAAAGCAAGAGAAAATAAAAATTAAGAAAAAAATTTATTATTAACTTACACAATATTTTTTTTTTAATATTATTTGCTCAAATTAATATGACATAAAAATTAACAAATGTAATAAATATTTTTGTTTATATTAAAATTATTTGTAACTTAATATAACTTTTAATATTATTTATTTCTCATTTATTATTCTGTACAAAATATTTAAACAAAAAAGAACAAAATTAAAAGGTTAGTAGTTAATATTATTTTCAATTTATAATCAGTAGACATGTAAAACAAAAAAAGTAAACATTGTTAACTTTAAAAGAAAAAAAAGGTCAAAAAGATATTTACCCATCCCAGGAACTTGATAATCGTTGACAATTTCAAAGTTCTTATATGTGTATCCCACAAAATTCAAGTCTTTAGACGAAAGCATCTGCGAAAATTCAGTAAACAAGAAAAATAAGAATAAATAAATAAATATAAAGAGTGTTAGCAATTAACAAATTATAAATTTTTAAAACAATTATAAGATAGAGAATAACATAATTCATATTGTAATTATATGGAAAACTGTATGAGAAATAGCAATAGAGAAACACAAGATTTTAAGATTACCTTCCTCCACGGACCAGCTCTTGATGATGATTGAGTCTGGCTGTCAGCCTACATAAATGAAAAGAAAAAATAAACTGAGAATAATTTAACAATGTGAATAACCTTGGATATATAACAACACAAAATAATAAAGAATTTAAAAGATTCAAATAAACACCTCTTCAAACTTTTCAAAATTTTGAGTATCTAACTCATCATTGACCTCAGGAAGAAATGCAGCTTCCATTTGATACAGTTTATCCCATTCAACACCATCAAAAAATGGATGGGCCTGAAAGATAACACAATAAGAAGGTAACTTATAAATCCAAATGTTTATATAGCAAATTTAAGAATTTAGAAAAGGACACACCATACAACACCTTTATTTCATTTGCACCATTTGAGCCCAACCTTTGGTTCACATTACACAAAAGTTTGCTTATAAGATCTTTAGCCTCAAAAGTTAATCTTGCTTCTTCGGGAAATTTTAAGTGAGATTTCCAATTTACTATCTGCATAAAATACGAAACTAGATAATTTTATTGTCTAATACAAAATATAAATTTGCTAAAATATCATATATGTTTACAATATTAAATGGTCAAATGCATCAAATGAAACAGTTTTAAGCTATTAAGCTATTATGTTTACAACCAAAATGGTAAAAAACAACAATAAAAAAATGTTAAAAACAATGAAAAGGTGAAGAATAAAATTACTTAAAATATATGGGTAAAAAATCTTAAACATTACAATTTGCTTTGATGTATGCTCATGACTAACAACCTTGCTAGGTTTATAAACTCTCAATAAGCTAATAATAATAAAAAAAAATATAACTAATACGAATAAGAATAGGAGTTTCATTTGTTTAGAATCAAAACACTAACAAAGGTTAATTAAGGTGTGTTTTTGAGGTTTAAAATACTAAAAAAGAAAATGAAATAAGCATAAGTTTTAGTCTTTATAATTATAGTATAAATATTTCTATTAGAAATATTACCTTCCTACATGTTGACATTGGATCATCAGAATAAAAAGGTGGATATCCTACCAACATTTCATACATAATAGCTCCAAGTGACCACCTGTGAAGTTTATTATAACAAACATCATTATATATATCAAAATAATATATATTTAACTTTAACTCAATAAGATTTATTCATAAAATCCACATAAGAATAAAATTCAACATGTTTATATAGCAAAACCACAACTATAAAAGAACAATGTCCTAAGTAGCACCACAACTATACAAGTAACAAGTATGCTACTTGAAACATTTTGAAAGAATCACCTACTATTAAATTAAATAAAAGAATACTCTTCTATTAGGTGATAAAGATGTACCACAAAAGAAAAAGTGAAATCAATTTTAATGCTACCATTCTCTAGCATAGAACTCACCAATCACATTCCATCCCATAACCTTTCTTCAACAAAACTTCTGGAGCAATATAATCTGGTGTACCAACAGTAGAATAAGCCTGCAACATTTACACACAAGAAAATCAATAGATCATTAAGTAAAGAAAAATTTCAAGAATTAAAATTACACGCAATTTCATATAATAATAAACAAAAAATAGACTTCCACACAATAACAATAAACTCACGAGTGTCCTTCGATTCTTCTGCCAATGTTGTAATTGTTCTTGTTGTGTGCGTTTTGGAGCTGCTTGTTCGTCATTTTGGGTTGACCCATTTGCATTTTGATTTGTAGAAAAATCTGTTTCTTCAAGTGTACTACAATCTAATGGTTTACATAGTCCAAAATCTGATAGTCTCAAGTGTCCGTATTTATCAAGTAATAAGTTATCAGGCTTAATATCCCTGCAATACGCCATATTAAAAACATTAATTTATATTGTACAATTTTTTTTGATAAAGACATGAAAAATTACAAAGATGGTCGCAATGAAGATTGAACCTAGATCCTCATGTTTTTAACTACCCTAATCCCTCCCCACCCAACTACTAGGCTAGTGTTCATATTGAACAATTTAGGATTCACTAAGTTTGCTTTAGATTTTACTTTCAAAAAGATACAAATGTTATTAAATAAAAAAATAATTTTAACTTCACGCATCAAATAGTTTCAAACTTTATATCATTTTTTTAATTTTGAAAATGAGGTGGAATAATTAAACACAACATAATGAGAAAAAAGTGTCAACAACACATTTTCTACTATTAATTTAAATGTGTTAGAAACTGCACATTTTTATGGATCTCTTTCTATTGAGTGAGCATTTATCTTGATTTTATCCTTCTCTATAAATTTTAACCAATCACATAATGTATTAAAAATAATGAATTGTTTGCACTCTTCTAATATAGAACACAACTATAATATGAAATAAACAAACTATATTGATACCTATGTATATAATTGTGTTTATGTATAGATTCAATAGCCAAAACTGTTTCTCCGACGTAAAATCGAGTTTCATCTTCAGTCAAGGTATCCTTTCTCATCAGTAGAGTCATCATATCCCCACCAGGTAGATACTCCATAATAAGATATAGATACTCATCATCTTGAAATGAACAATAAAGTTTAACTATGCAATTGCTGTCAACCTCTGCAAGGAGATTCCTCTCAGCTCTAACATGTTCTACCTGGAATAGTTAATGAAATTAGAAGTGCGTTGATTTCACTAACTTTTAACACAAAGCTACTATATATTGTGTCGATGAAATGATGAATATGATGTAACATGACAAATTGCAAACCTGGCCTCTACGAAGCATCTCTGATTTCTTTAACTTTTTCATTGCATATACATGATCTGAAGTTTTTTCCTTACAAACTCTAACCTGAAAAAATTTCAAATTGTTGGTAGAAGTAGAATCGTTGATGAACAAGGTTATAAAAAGATTTAGAAACAAAAAGAAGAAAGAATAGTTGGTCATAGTGTTTATACTACATACCTCCCCAAATGCACCTTTTCCAATCATAGTCAATAACTCAAAATCATCAACACCCATTTTGTGCCTTTGAAGACGCATATATTCAGTTTCCTTTTTCTCTAAAAATTTAAGTAGGTTATTTTGATCTTCCTCAGAGACATCAGCATCGGCCAACTTCTTTTCCAAGATGGTTCGACTGTTATACACGATGTATTAGAAAATTGCACAACATATTTGTCAATCCAACAATCATAATTCCAATTGATATTATGAACATTTTTTTGTGTGGATATTTTTAACATGCTTCAACCAAATTATGAGAATTATTGTTAATTGTTACACAAGACATCTCAACCAAAAGTACGAAAGAAATAAATACATCGCTCGCAATAATACATTTATGATAACTTAGTAGTATTGTATATTTACATTGACCAATGACATAGGATTTCATGAAACTCCTTTACCCTCTTTGTGGTTGAAAATAGTCATCCATAACACATCTAAATCCTTATAAGATTAATAATAACAAGTTCCACGGAATTTGAGTCACATAACACATAAATCACCTTAAACTTGTAAGCCATAAAATATATATCAAGAAATATTCTTAATTCTCCTTTTATTTAAATGAGCACCCTTATTCATACTAATTACGGTATTTGTCTTTTTTTTTTTTTTAAGTCTTAGCTAAACTAGGCTCAGTAAAGATAGTATATTTTTTGCACTATTAATTACTTGTATACTATGAAAACTACAATGCACTATGAAATGCACAACATTTATACTAAAAAATAGACACTAGAAAAAAGTGAATAAACGTGTCAAAGTTTATACCTTTTTAGTATGCTATAGAAAAATCTTTCATTATCAAGTGCACACACAATAGGGACTTTATAATCTATCATCAAATTGACTTTAACGATAATTTTAATTTATTTTCTTATTAATGCTCAGAGAAATATATCATTAATAGAAATTTGTTACATCTTGGCGTACATAACAATAGTACTGATACAAGCTGATAGGACCAAATTGAGAAAATGTAACATACCGCTCCTTCCTCTCTTGAAGGCTCTTCATTTGTTCCTTGTAGTGGTTCTCTATGTACTGCTTGGCTGCTGCAACCTTCTGCTTTGTGATATTGGAAAGAGTTTCTTCATCCATAGGCTCATTTGGAACTTCGTTTCCACCATGAGTATCATCTTTTTTCCTCGTAGAGGCCCTTAATCTATCACGTGGCTGAAACTTTTGTAACCAACTCCTCGCAGAATCCATTTAATTTCTTTGCCGACCACAACCTCAACCACTACCAACAACAACCATCACTTCCTTTCCTTGTAACTTTGAATCCCAAAATTCCAACTATAATTATCCTGTACATCATTTTTGCATTAAAATAACGAAACTAAAAAAACAAAAGTGAAAAAATGGTTCAGTCTCAATTTCTGCAACTAACTTGATAAAACATACAAGAGTTTCCTGTCATACCTTAATTTACCGTTTGAAGCATTTGGGAAGGAAAAATGTAAAATAAAAGTTTTAATGCAGAGAAATGAGATGATATGTGTATCAGCAGTTGATGGATTAAAAGATTGAGAACGGAGAAGAACTGAATTTGTGGGAAGAAGCTGAAAATTCGGATTACCATGTAAATAACAGTTATGATCGTGCATAATTGGTGGGAGAGAGGATCCTAGAACGCCGGGATACAATGTGTTATCGTTATGGTGTGGCTTGACTCCAATGAACTAAAACACGATCACAAATCCAACGTACCATATAATCGATGTCACTCTCTATATATTTAAATAATACTTTCCAACGATTTTATAATAAATGTGAATTTTGTAAATTTAATAGTTAAGAAATTTTTTATTTTTAAATTATATATATAAAATTTTATATTAATCAAATATGATTTTTTTTTTGTAAAAGTGAGAAAGATTACAAAGATGATCGTAATAATGAAGATTAAACTTATGTTCCCATGCTTCTAACTATCTCAATCCCTCCCTACTCAACCATTAGGCTAACCTTAATAGTCTAATCAAAGATGATTTAATATTTATCAGATTTACAAAATTTATATTTAATATAAAATTATTAAGCGATATAATACTTAATAAAAGTTACACCAGTGTCGTTTGAACTCTCATTTATTTAAATATATTATTTATTTATATTTGAAATATATAATAAACATTTAAATACCTACTTAATGTTTATTTATATATATGACTTTGGTATACTAACTTGTAAATGATTCTTACTATCTTATTTAACCATGTTTTTTTTTTGTGTGTATAAAATGGTTTATTTTTATAATGATTATTTTAAAATATAAATCTTAAATAATTTATACTTAAAAAATATTTATAATATAGGTATATAAAAATTAAATTACTTACAATATTATGAAAGAGAGTAATAAATTAATGTAGCATTATTTGAGAAAATAACATGGTGTGAATTGATGCATCAATTTTTGAAAGTGAGTGGATCAGCAAAATCAATAAGAAAATGTTGGAGGGAGAAGGCCAGGTCGAGAACGGGCTCATCTGAAATCAGTCCATGAATGGCCCATTAACTGAAAGGAAGGCCCATTATGGTTAAAACAACTAGTGTTGTGTAGACCAGAGAATCAGAAAACCCTTAAACCCTTTCGTCGCCTCCATCGAAGGTTTCTCTTGTTGAGTGGAGGCTACCATTGTTGCCGTTCTTTCACGCACTGGTATGTTTCTCATAATCCTCTCTCATTATCGTTTCCAACTTACGATGCCGACGCTAACTCTGTTTCTCGCTATAACGTTATATACTTCAGGTTTTGCAGTGACAAGCCATCGGTGACCATGTATCTTCAGTTTTACATAAACGATAATGGTGACAAAGTCTACACCACCAAGGTGACAAAGATTTGTTCTCTTTTCTGTTGTTGTAATTCTATTCGCTTAATCTGAGTTGAATTATTGAGGGGACGTTTTAGCCCTAGCTCACTTTGAGGCACTGCTTCGTGTGCTACACCTTTTATTTTTTGTTTTTAGGGTTTCTTACGAAATTGCGTCTTTGCATGGGTGATTGGTAATAAGCAAAAAATGGTGTGGTTTACTGTGTTTTCATGTTTGCTGTTTTTCTTCTTTTTTTGCAGAAAGAGTCGCCGATAGGGCAACCTACACAATCTGCTCATCCAGGTATTTTGCTTAATTAACTACGGTTTCCTGTCATTTATGATGATTAAAAGTCTATTTGGGTACATGAACTTTTGAGAGCTTTTCTACTGAAAATAAAGAGATATTTTCAGTAGAAAAACTTTCAAAAGTTTTTCTAAACTTGTATCTGAATAGACTCTAAAACTCGTTCTATGTGATTTCTTTGTTGATACTATAATGTATTGCAGTCAGTATTGTTTGTGTTTTTTATTCTGGGCCTTTTTCTTTTGTTCTCTTCTTGTGTCTACCTTTATTGTGTATTCATCGGTACTTGGATTGCACACCCGTTTTCTTTTCAGTTTTTCATTTTGTCTCATTACAATGATTCTTTCCTTCTGGATAAGCCTTTTTTGAAATCATGTGCTCCCTCCAACGTCAAATGCTTTGTTTGGACTTCCGTACTTGGTAGGATCTGTACTAATGATTTACTTTAGTTTGAATTAGTTTAGTAGACTGTAACTCTGACTACTATGTATTGCATTGATCATGTTCTGAAACTGGTTCACGTTTGTTCTTGGGGAAGCTTCTAATCTCTGGAATAATGCGTTTGGTATTCTTAGTGAAAATTGGGTTTGTATCAAGGGCATTTATCAGTTTGCATGTACTTTTATAGTCTTTGACTCTTCCAAAGACTCCAATAAATTTTTGGAATATCACTCAATTTGTGTTTCTTTGGTGTTTATGGTTGGAAAGAAATGTTAGTTTTCTCTGGCAGGCAGTGTTCTTTTGAGCTCATTCGGGAATTGGGATTATGTAGCTTTCTTTCCTTTGTTTCCTTGTGGTGTTATGCTTATGGTCTTTTTAGGGGAGTGTCACAGTTAAATCTTTAGAGAATTAGCATGTTTTCTTGCAGGGCTTTTGATCTTTGTCTTTCTTTGACCTCTTTTCACCTTTTAGTCTTTATCTTGTCTTTTTTCCCTTGGGGATTTCTTATCCTCTACATCGTATCTTTCTCTTTTTTAATAGCACCTTTAAACCTAGTACAACTCATCATTTTGCCTCAACTGCCGAGTCAATTTCAGCTTGACATGCATGTATAATAACCAATTTTCTTTTTATCTCTATCATAGTATCATTTATCATTATTTAACGTTCAACTTGTTAGATTGGAAGATATTTCATGTTGAATGTATATTGGTTGAAAATCATGGACTGAGAAACATCTTCATTGTGGCCGACTGTTTTCTATTTCATTTCTTGTTTTTGCTTTTAACTATAAAAATGTCACATTGTATTTTGTTTCCTGTTTTGAACAGTTAAAACAATATTTTTATTATTGTGACATTGTATTTTCTTGTTAGTGATTTTACTTGATTTTCTTGAAATGCAGCCCGGTTTTCACCCGATGACAAATATTCAAGGCAGAGAGTTCTTCTGAAGAAGCGTTTTGGATTGTTACCAACCCAGCAGTCACCTCTGAAGTACTGAATGATATAGAAGCTCTAATTTTTAAGTGTTTTTGTTCTGGTCTTAGTATTTTGTGAACTAGTGCTGGTGTCAAGTGATTGAGCCATTTATGCTTTTTATGTGTTTTGAACCCCGATTACGTCAAAATCCGGCTCACGTATTAGAATGAAGTGACGAATGTTGAAATGCACCAGTGGATTTGGAGTTGTGTTTGCAGTCAATATATATACTTCTAAAAGTACTCTTAGAAAAATATTTGTTCTCGCAACGCACTGGGTGCTTGCCAGCTCTCAAAACGAGATTAAAATGTGGCAAGATAACATCAGTTACATGAATCGATAAAAGATCAAGAGAAATTTCATCTCTACAATACTTGTGTACAAGTACGTTTTTGTTTTTCAACCCAAGAGATAGAAATAAAAGAGAAAACAAAATGATATAAAATGTGATGAGATAAAAAGTGTTTGGACTTTTTTTTTGGTAAAGAGGAAAGAAAAATACGTTTTTTAAAGTTAAAATTAGTTATGTTTACTTTGGCAAGTTAACTGATTCATTTTTTAAAGGTTTGTTTTAATAGACGAATAAGTTAATTTTTTTACAGGGTTCAATTTAACGATTTTTTTTTTTATCACTTTTAGTGACCGGTACAATTCATGGATATTTGCTAATCTCTTATCACATTTTTTTTTAAATCACTAATTAAAAATAACTATTATAAATTAGTTATCATTAGAAAAATGGTTGCAACACTTTTTTTTTATAACATTCTTTATTGTAGATGAAATTTAACACGAGGTTATCTTATGCAAAGAAATTTTAAGTGAAGAAGTTTCTCTTAAATGATTAAGAACGCTTTTATGGAGTATATAATATACAATAAAATTAATTTATATGTTGAAATATAAAATTTATTTGCACATATTAATTTATTATAAATTCTAATTCTTTATAATAGATATTTAATATGTGTATTATTATGTGAGTTAAAATACTACTTTGTTATTTTTTTTATGGAAAGCAGTATTTTCTTAGAAATCATAAAATTATGTAAGTTTTATTTTTTTAATAAAAAAGTTCACATTTTATTTTATTTTATTATCTTACAGCAATTCCTACAGCGGTGAGAGGTATTAAAACATGATTTTGGGAACATTATCAAAAATTAAATTTGATGTAATGACTAAGATGACAGGGGTGTAAATAAGTATGGGTAATCAATGAATCTAAACTAACTTAAACCAATTCAATGAATTCGGATTAAATTTTTTCAGTATTCGAATCAAGCTCAACTCAACCTCGACCAAAACCCAACATTATACGGGTCGGATAATGAATTTTGTGTTTTCAATCCGTTATCAACAACTCGACCCAGACTGGTCACATATAATAATAATAATAATAATAATAATAATAATAATAATAATAATAATAATAATATTTATTATTATTATTATTATATTTGAATGATCATTTACTCATAACAATACTCATTATCACTCTTACTTAGTAACAAGTTTGTGTTTTAGGTTGATAGTATTGTAATAATATAATATATTTATTTTAAATTTTATTTTGTATCGACTAATATTGATTTTTTAAGTTGATAATAATATAACAAATTAATTAATTTATTTTAAAATTTAATTTGTATTATTATTTGCTTTATAGTTGATAATATTGAATTTGTAACAATGTATTAAATAATTTATATCTATTTTAAAATATTTAAATTTATAATAAATAAATAAATATAATTATATTAATATGATTAACCTAATCCATTCGTAATTAAGTTAGATTAGATTAAAATTATAAAAAAAAATTACACAAATCTGATCCAATTTAACTCATTAATTTTTAATTGATTGGAGTATCGGGTTTATTGAAACCCGGCCCGACCTAAGCTGGTTACGCTCCTAACAAGTATAGCTTAATCTACCAAAGACGACGACTCCTACTTCAGTTGCACTCGAAACACTCGTTGCTCGAAGTCGAAGTCGTCGCTTGCCAAGTGCTATTCTTCCCATCTTCCTTCTGCTTCCGCGTATGTCTTAATTCTCATCTTTTCCATCTCAAAACCCTAATCTACTCCGATCCGCATCCAAATTCTAAATGCGATTTGTTTTCTGGTTTAAATTCTTAGATTTATCGTTGCAGGAATGGCCAGAAAACTAGGACAATTACTGGCGCTACTTTTCTCTGTTTCGATCTGTGGAGCCGTTACGATTCCTGGCCCAGTCTCCGATGCTCACCGTTCCGCCGCGTCGGAGCTCTTCGATGGATCCTTTTCGAGGTCAATTGAATCCTCTCTAGCTGTGTTCTTTTCGCGTGTAGTTTAATTTGATGATGTTTAGCTTAGTTCTGATATGCGGATGCATGGATCCTTGTATTATAAGCCTCGTAAGTGTAACTGTAGTTTCGTGGTGATTTAATTTTACGAATCAGTGAAAGTAGTGAAGAGTTTGTCTAAGTAGAGTTTCGTGAATGAATGCAGACTATGATGAATATTGGACTCTGACTTTCTGTTGCTGCTTAATTATCGTTTTGTTAGTTGTTTTAACGTCATTTTTGTTGTCTCTTAAAATGCAACATTGTGATCTAAGCATATCATAAGACATCCAAAGATTGTTATAGCTCTGGTGTAAATTTCCTATCCATGTCATGAATTGATATGTTAGGTTTGTTTCACTTTGTTGAAATTTTAGACAATTCTATATAAGACAACTAATTTTTATACTTTTATTTGTTACCAGTTTAGAAGATGCCTATGAGGCCCTGAGAGTTTTTGAGATTCTTGCCGTTGGGAATAAGCCCGATGTGAGTGCAGCCACTTGTCAGAAAGTAGTGGAAAATCTTGGGCCTTCATCCCTTGTGAAGGATTTGTTCTATGCGTTAAAGGTTAATAGCATATTAAAATGCAAGGTTAACGGAGGTGTTTTCAAGGTAATTTTGTGCTACGGGTGTTATTTTATGATTTGGTTGCAGCTTGAATGTCATGGCTTATGAAATTGGTGTTGTGTTGTTAAATTGCAAGCCTGGAAACTGATGCTATAATTTGCTTACCTTGTAAAGGATGTTGCTTCAAGACTTAAAGCCGCTGTCAATGATGCCAGTACTTTGGTTGACATGTACTATTCAATAGGAAGTTTGGTTCTTACAAAGGTATTTCTCTAGACTCTACTCTACTTACTAACCCCACTGGTCCATTGGGCTTCTACACGAGTTTCTATTAGAATCCTCTGGAACTGCTGTGGTACATTGTTAAAGATTATTTTCCTGTCCTTTCTAGCAACAGTAAATTGAGCTTTAGGTCTTGGTCATCTTGCTAATCTAATTGATATGTAAAAAATCTTTTGGTCCTTCTAATGTGCCCAAATTTCTCATTATGTTATTTTAAATAGTGTAAATGTCTCTTTGGAAGACTATGCTATTTTTTATTGTGACTTGCAGACTTCAATTGATATTATGTTACATTACAGTTTATTCCTGCTTTTAATTTCTTCCTTCTATGTATACAGGATCAGGCTTCTGATGTTGATGTGCTTCTTACTGATGCTGATGGGACCTTCCATTCAATCAAGGTCTGTTTTTGTTATCTTAGTCTTAGGTTTAGAGTAAGTTGGGAACTTGGTTTGTTTCTAGATAACTTCCATTCTGGTCTCATCTAACATGGTGACAGGCTATTCCTCCAGTTTTACTCATTTTGCTTCACTACTTACATAAAATTTTGTTGCTGTAATTGCAATTCAAATTGTCATGTGCAATGTGATTTCATGTCCTGCAATATTGGCAGGCTCTGAGCCAAAGTGATGGAAGATGGCGCTATAGTTCTGATAATCCAGAGTCTAGTACTTATGCTGCTGGTAATGATTTATATGGAAATGTGTTCAGATTTTGTTTTCTGCATTGAAACTAGTATTACGGAACGGAATTCTTGGAAATATTGCCATTGACCATAATGACAACTCAAGCTATTCATGTATTTCACAGGATTAGCACTCGAAGCATTGGCTGGAGTGGTCTCATTAGCATCTTCTGAAATTGATCAGTCTAGGGTAAAGTTCTAAGTCTTAAATTGGCTGTTTGACTTGCTTCACTATTTTAAACTTTAAACTTTTTAAGCTTACTTAGATGAAAAGTTTCAGTGTGTCTAAATTCTAAATTAATGTGGATGAAATTATTTGAATCTAAATAGTATGCCAAATAAAATTTGTCAAGAAATTTTTGTTAGAATATTTGTTAACTAAATTACTATAATACCAGCTGGGAACTGGTAAATGAAAATGAGTTTAAATGGTGAGGCAAAGTGATAAAAATCAAGATTTCAAGAATGGAAAATTAGCCTTTTTATTGGATGTATAGTGAATCTAAGGTTAAACTTGCTAGTTTAAAAACAAGTTAAACTTTCTAGTGTCGTACTTTTCAGACAATTTATCTGTTTAGATTTTCCTTTCCTTGCTTTTGTTGTTTATGATGCATCTTGCTAACATACTTTGCCTTGGGCATTCTGGCACTTCTATCAGTGATTCAGTATCTTATATCAGCTCCATTTTTTCAGGTGAATACAGTGAAAAATGATATATTGAAGCTTTTTGATAGCATTGAGAAATATGGTATGTGTACCTTTGCTTTTAACCTCATAAAATCTCACAAGAAAACTGTTAATGTTCTTTTATGAAATTGGATATACCTAGAATGTGTGTGTGTAGCAACCTTGATTACCTTTAAAAGAGTTTGCCTTTGGTAAATGCTAGATACTATATATCTCCCTATATCAGCGCATTTTATGCTTCGTTACATTTTTTTATTTGGTTCGTTGCAGCATTTTGTCCCTTTAGTTTCAAATGTTGGTTGCATTGCAAATTTGCAATCACCTCTTTGGAACTTGTCCTCCTGGAAGTTTCAATTGTCTTCTTCTATAAACTAAAAAAATATTAAGTTTTAACAGTACCGAAAGTTTCTGTTTGTTATTTCTGGAAGACTTCAATTAAGTTGCCCGCTATTTTTAGTTGCGTGCAGTGGGACATTGTTTACTAATTATACTGTTGATCAATTTTTGTTCTATTTTATAAACCAAGAGGCCTAAAGATAGAAGATACATCTCTTCAAAATGCTTGAGTCTTGAAGACCTGTTATTTGTGGCAATATATCCTGTCGGGTTGAGGATAGGTATAGTAATTTCATGTTTGCAGTGTGCAACAGTCCTACACAGTACCACTTGATATTGAGTAACACTGTCTGCAGGAAGACTCTTCACTACCTTCAGCATTAAGAATAGAAAACTCTTATACCCTGTCCTCCCTAATTGAATTCCCTCCCCGTAAAGTTTCTCCAACTTCCCTGAGCACTGAATTAGAAGTTGGCATGTTGATTCCAATTTTATGTTTAGAAGCCCATTTAGTATTAGAATAATACTTCCATGTCACTTCCATGGAATAACAAAATAACTAGTCGAAGCCCTTTCCATTACTTTATAATGATATTATTTAATTTAAAAGGTTTGATTATTATATATTAAATCATTTTTAATGTGTGATATATATATATATATATATATATATTATTTAGATCTTGCCTTCAAATAATAGAATTGGAGTTCAAATTATATTCCCTAATTCTTTGCACAACCCAAATAGTAAGTTTATGATTCTGAACCAATTTCAATTCTGCCATAATTGGAATTGAAATTAAAATTCTGAATAACAATTTTAACTTATCCATATGGAACCTAGTTGTTTGTTATCACATTAAATGGTTCTGCTGTTCCTTATACCACTTTTCTCATTCTACTGATCTAAGATGAATGGATTTTCACTTTTTCAGATGATGGAACTTTCTATTTTGATGAGAAATTTGTTGGTGGACGTGAGCATCAGGGTTCTCTTTCCACAACTTCTTCTGTTGTTCGAGGGGTTACAGCATTTGCTGCTGTAACTTCTGGAAAAATAAATGTATGTTGTGTGTAAAGGACTACTCACTACTCTAGAACTTTTTATCATGTTAGAGTTTTCTGCTAATGGTTTGGCTTTGCAATTCCAGCTTCCAGGGGATAAAATATTGGGTTTAGCAAAATTTTTCCTAGGCATTGGAATCCCAGGAGATGCCAAGGACTTCTTCAATCAAGTTGAATCATTGGCTCTTCTAGAGAACAACAGGCAAGTGCATTTCTAAGAAAAATCTATTATTGTAAAGTGCAGCTTTATGGTGATATTTCTCTTTTCTTCTTCTTCCTCTTTATTGATACATTGATCTCTTCGTCAACTCCAGCAAACTTGAGTAACACTATGTACCTTGGATTTCTTCTTGTGGTGTAGGATTTCCATCCCATTGGTACTGTCACTTCCTGCAACAGTTTATTCATTATCCAAAAAAGATCAGCTCAAGGTATTCAATGAAGTTAAAGTCTTTAAAGCCCTTATTTTAAAAGCATTAAAACTAGTAGATCTTAGGTAGGAATTGGGAAATGATGATCGGTTGATGGCTTACACTGGTTTTCTGAACACCTTTCAAAATTTGCACTTTCGTTTTTAATGAAGAGTAGAGAATATTCTGTACTGTAGCCCTTTGGCTTTGATCCATTTTTTGCCTGAACCATCCTTTAAGCATACATTTTTAGCACCTGCTGTCAAAATCCAGTATTGATGAGTGAAAATTCAGTAATCTCTAATATGATTACTGATATAGCTCTTAGTTTTGATTAAGTTTCTTTTGTTACCAATGGATACTATTTGTTGTTATTAGTTCTTTCATTTAAATTATGTGTTATGCTCTCCTTTGTGCCATTGCCGTTTATTCTGTTATGGAGCATAAAAATTCTCCTGTTTGCTCTTTTCCCCATTTATTGCTTGTTGATTCATTTATCTGCAGTACTACAATAGCATCTATTGCATCAGTTGGCTGTGATAATTATTTATCAACCTTTTTATAATTGTGCAGTTTTTCTAGTTCTCACTTACACTTAGCAAAACATGACAAATTTCTATTTCAAAATTAATCAGGTTAGGGTAACTACAGTATTCGGTTCAGCTGCACCACCTTTAACAGTTAATCTTGTCCGAGCTGTCCGCACTGATGCTAAAGATTCAGCTATTATTGAGAATAAGGTGAGGGATGACTCTCAATGATTTATTTGAGAAGTGTTTGATATTTTCCCCTTATAGTGCTATGATGCTATGATTTGGTTTGCGGAATTCTTTCGTATCTCTGGCGTGTTCTACTTTCTGTTGTCTGAAAGGCTGCTCATGTTTCATGATACAGGAGCTCCAATATGATAAAAAAAATGGAATTCATGTCTTGGAAGTTTTCCCAGATAATGCGGATGTGGGAGCCTATGTGTTTGTTTTTGAGGTACCTGCTTGTTAAGTTTAGTGATTATTTTTCCTCAGCTGCATCAAGGTGTATTCCTGTCAACTATAATATTTCGAGCTCATTTTGTAGATTGTACTTGATGAACCTGCTGGTGAAAAAGTTTATGCTACTGGAGGCCAAATTCATGTACCAATATTTGTCACTGGCATTATTAAAGTCAGCAACGCAGAAATTGCAGTTGTTGACAGTGATCTTGGAAGTGTTGAAAACCAGAAAACGTATGCCTTATTTTTGGTTTAAAAAGTTTTCTGCAGTTATATTTAGAATCAGTCTACTTAATTACTGATTAGCGCATCTAATTGTCATATGCTTGTTTTGCATTGTGGTTAATGTATGAACTTGGTACATATGTATTTAAATCTTGAGTACTGAATTGTCAAATTGCTTCCAGGCTAGATTTGGCTGGAAATGATGTTGTTTCGTTCTCAGCTAACCACTTACAAAAGTTGCGCTTTTCTTTCCAATTGACAACACCTCATGGTCATACTTTCAAGCCTCACCAGGTCTGTAGTAGTTGTCTTAGACCTTCTAAATGAATTCCATTTCAATGCTCTGTTTATTGAGGAGTTATTCTTCTGCAGGCATTTTTCAATTTGAGGCATGAGACAAAGCGTGAACACATCTTTGTGGTTGGAAATACTGGCAAGAAGTTTGAGATTATTCTTGTTAAGTACCTTTTATTATACATTTCATTGCCTAGGTTCAGATCCTCTTCTTGAGCACTCATTAAGCTAGTTATAATTTTCCAAGGTCAGATAATTTGTCTTGGTGCATGACTGCATATAACTTTGAATATCAGAAAACATGCGCAGTTTTCGGAAAATTGTACCTCTAACCACTTGAAAGGGATGGTTATTTATCTATTATTTTGGATCTGCTTGCAATTATACTGTAAACTGAGTAGTTGACATTCCCTAACTGCGTTTGATAAGCTTGTAATGTTGTGACCTGTGTGTATGTTTCTGTGAAGGCTGTAATTGTCATTCATTATAATAACTGTTCTTTTGCTCATAGTTTGTAATTTTGTCTCTTAGGATTTTCTTGGTTTGGTGGAGAAATTTTATTACCTTTCAGGCAGATATGACATTGAGCTGACAGTTGGTGATGCTGCCATGGTACCTTGCACTACTTGATTTACTTAATTTCCCCTTTGCCCCATAATACCATAGGCAATCTAAGCAAAAAATTACTTGTGGTTTCAGGAAAACTCTTTCTTAAGGCCACTAGGTCATGTTGATTTAGATCTTCCAGAAGCACCTGAGAAAGTGGCCCGTCTTCCTCCACTTCCTGTTGATCCTTACTCAAGATATGGGCCCAAAGCTGAGATAACCCACTTATTCAGGGCTCCTGAAAAGCGACCACCCCAGAAACTCTCTCTTACTTTCTTGAGTTTGACCCTCCTGCCATTTATTGGCTTTTTGGTTGGGGTAAGTTGTGCGAATAATCCTCGCAAGTGGCACCCATGCATGTTGATGCCTTTAAGAAAAAAAGGGCAGTGTAGAAAATGAAAAAAATATGATAAGTGGAAAGAGAAACTACAGTGAAGTTTTCGAGAAATGACAATTTATTTTTACATTAAATTGGCTTTAATGACTGATCTTTATTAGTTAACTAACATTTGAATGAATTTTATCAAAAAAAAAAATGAATTATATGTTCTCATAATAGTTAACCAACAATTATCAAAACCCTTTTCACTTTTTTGCTTGTCACTTTTTATAAGACTCTCTTCTAATTGGCAGTTGCATTAATTATATTTTTTTCTAAAATACCTTTATTTAACAAACAATTCTTTTAGACAAAAGATAATAAATGTTTGAAATTAATTTGATAAAAGCTCTCTCTCTCTCTCTCTCTTATTAGGATTAGAGAAGATAAATAGATACATAAATATCCTTCTCTTCAGTAATAAGTGAGAAATGATAAAGTGGTAAGATAAAAAAGGTTAAATTATTGATAGATTTAATGTTCTTATTTAAATTAACTAATTTTCTTAAAGAATGTAATTTAGTTAAAAGGATCTTATAGTTAGGGATGAGAGTAGTATTCATAAAGATTCAACATTTAATGTTTGAAATAGTACTTTAAATTTGCTAGGCTTCTATATCTATCTGCATGAAGTTGGGCCTCTATGAGTGTATGGTCTGGTGGCTTCTGGTTGCTATTGCTAAATATTCAAGTTGTATATTTTCAGTCAAAAGGCTTGGAATTTTATGCATAAACACTATATTATATGTATGTTCACTTCTTACTTATATGAAGGGAGGAAAGACATAGTGTAGATAAGCTTGGCCTCTATGAGTGTATGGTCTGGTGGCTTCTGGTTGCTATTGCTAAACATTCAAGTTGTATATTCAGTCAAAAGGCTTGGAATTTTATGCATAAACACTATATTATATGTATGTTCACTTCTTACTTATACAAAGGGAGGAAAGACATAGTGTAGATGAGCTTGGCCTCTATGAGTATATGGTCTGGTAGCTTCTGGTTGCTATTGCTAAACATTCAAGTTGTATATTTTCAGTCAAAAGGCTTGGAATTTTATGCATAAACACTATTATATGTATGTTCACTTCTTACGTATATGAAGGGAGGAAAGACATAGTGTAGATGAGCTTGGCCTCTATGAGTGTATGGTCTGGTGGCTTCTGGTTGCTAATGCTAAACATTCAAGTTGTATATTTTCAGTCAAAAGGCTTGGAATTTTATGCATAAACACTATATTATATGTATGTTCACTTCTTACGTATATGAAGGGAGGAAAGACATAGTGTAGATGAGCTTGGCACCTTCCTCCAAAATTGCAACTATTAAGTTATTTGTACTGGTTTACCTGCCATGTTCTTATGTTATGGTCTATATTCCTTTATGTCAGTTAAAATTTGTCATTTGCTGTGACATTATTTACAGGTGTTACGCCTGGGGGTGAACTTGAAGAATTTTCCTTCTTCAGCAGTACCTGCTACATATGCCATCCTATTCCATCTTGGCGTTGCTGCAGTTCTATTGCTTTATGTACTTTTCTGGTTGAAGGTATGCCTGCTTATTGATTCTATTGAACATGTTTCACTCATTTTCTTCTGTGCTGATATTTATCTGTCCATATAAAGTAAGTTGATTCAGTATCAATGAGAAGCACTGTCTCCTGTAAATTTCATAATGATTAAATAAAATGCTTGTCTTATGAGGTGGTAAGAATGATTCATATTATTTTTTGGCGGAACAATTTTCTCCTCTCCAGCCAGGGCAATATTGTCCGACGGTTAATTCCACCTTTTTTCTATATGAAATGCTAGTCTGCTGACTTTATTTTTGTTCATGTGCAGCTGGACTTGTTCACTACACTCAAAACTCTAGGATTGTTGGGAGCTTTTCTGATGTTTGTGGGACACAGAATTCTTTCCCATCTCGCTTCAACATCATCCAAGTTGAAGTCTGCATGAGTGAAAAAAAGGAAGATTTCTCATTTATGAAGACATGACATGATAATGTGTTTTTTTAATATGGTACTAATCCAATTTTGTAGGACTTTGTTGTACTAGTTCGTAACAAATTTAGAGCTATTTATCAAAAGAGAAAAAAGTTTTATCTTCATCTTGCCTTATCCTGATGAAAGTCATTGACATATCTTTTTCTAGCATATGGTTGACATATATCTCCGTGACAGAATGGTTAATATTGTTTTTCTTTTTCGCACCCAAACACCATATGCTATCATGGTCCATATCATGTAATCTCTGGCTACCCACTTCAGCTTCATCTAGAAAGAAGTGCGATTCATAGATAATTGATTGACTGTCAACTGTTGTAGTTTTTAGGATTCTTGTTTACTGTCTACAAGATTTGGCTTGGGCCCCTTTAAGTTGGGTCTTTTTGGTCCAAGTGGTGGTGGGAGGGAGAGAGAATTGAGATATAAGTGTGAGAACTTAAGTTTAATTTTCATTGCTATCGTTGTAATCCTTTTACTAATAAATTTGATCAAACATGCACCGATTAAGCACGGTAAGAAATCTCCGAAAATTCTGCATCAAAGCTGGAGTTAAGCTGTTCAGGGCGGTGTACACATCATGAGACTTCTCAACAGCCACTTCATGAAACTCTGATTTCGATTAGATGTTTAAAGCTTGTTAATTAAATTTTTTATCAAGGTAATGCAGGTTTTGATAAGTTCATCGATTATTTATGTTTTTCAACTATTGAAAGGGAACGCTGATTTAAATTGTAAATTTCTAAATCCATAAGAAAAAAATGACGAGTACATAGTTCCGACAAATGCAGCCCAAGACAAAAAAAAACGATTAGAAATGACTTAAACTGTAAGTTAGCATCAGATTGCTCCAGATTCTGATTACTTAACTGCTGCATACATTTCTATTTAGGCTTTACACGTTCGTTAAGTATTCCTACGGAGTATTGATACCTTTTTTTTTAAGTACTTATGGTTTTAAGGAGTGCACCTAGAGAAAATGGAAACTCGGATTGAAAGTTCGAAACCATCAGGGGAAGAGGGGACTTTAGTAAATACGAAAGCACCAAGTGGCCAATAGGATCCTATGGCTGTTCTAGAAATGTTACTTGCATAATGGTCTGAATCACCTGTACAATTGCTAATTATAATAATAGTTGTCATTCTTGGTCAAATGTGATTTTCGATTCAGAGTTTGCTTTGGCTTATGAATGGCAAATGATTAACTGAGCGTGTTGGGACATTTGAGAAAGAGTATTACAAACCAACAAAGACCACCAACTATAATAGATTAATAGTTTCCAGTTTGATTACTCAGTCATCTTGAGGGTTGTGCTCTCTTTTTTGAGAGAAGAATTATTTTCAGGGATATTACTCAAGCCCCTTTATTCTTCTTCAAATATAACAAGCTATGTTATGGTATGACTCAAATCCGGATATTAATGCATGTTTTTCAGTGTCCTGCCGTATCAAAATAGTACTACCCCATTACATGCATGTTAACTAGCCAACGAGAAACAGTAATAAACTAAAAGAAAAATGTAAAAATAGAAACTAAATATCATACACGTAAAAATTAACTTAAAAATGAGCATATTTCTTTGGAATGGATACAAATATTAGTGTCTAACCAAACCTCTTGACTCAATAGTTGTAAAGTTTGTCCTGGTATATTAAGGATTAACTTAGTGTTTCTAAATTCGATTTTTGTCAATGTTAAAATAATTCTTAATTAACAAAAGTCATGTCCCGTGAAAGTAAATTAATCTTTGATTGTTAGTTTTGGGACATCATATCCATGGACCCAAAAAAAATCCAAAATTTAATAAATTCAAATAAAAACAAGATGATCCAGGTGTCTTTTCACTATGACTTACGTCAAGTGAAGAGAATAACCAAAAAAAAGGAACAAAAAAATAAAAATAAACAACATCGAAAGCTTAGGCCTTAGAATTTAGAAATCTATAGAAGGAAGTGTGGCCATATCTTATACCTAGCATTGGTAACCTCTAAGTGAATATTATGAGACTATTCTGAAACCTGGATGCTATGACTTGTGAGCCACATCTTCTTTTGAATTATAAATACGGCATCATCCTGATCTTGATCTACATCATACATGGTCACAGCCTCCCAGTGTAATGCTGACAAGTATTTCTTTATATACTCTATCACTGACCGCTTATCATGGACAATGATGAAACCTTTTGGTCTCAGGATTCTATCCATCTCAATTAATAAATCTTCTGGACTGCATTCTTTGTTAATAATATCAGAAAATACAGTCCATGCATGGAGTAGATCATACGTACGAGGGTAGGTTGAAAAAGCTTCACACCTGTCGCATTTGTATGAACAACATCATTAATATAAGGTCATAAAAAGGTACTTCTACATTGAAGATTTCACGTTTTTAGTAATCACTCATATTTGCACAAATTGATTTTTATCAGATCATGCTTGGTTTTCACCCAATCAGTATGAAACAACAAATTCAATATGGTTGCCAAAATATAACCTTGTGAAGATAAAACTTTTGATAAAGAGACAAGCTCATACCAGTTGTGAACTGTTCCTATCAGTCCTCTGTCGTATATTATCTTGAGAGTTTCTGGTCCATTTTCTGGCACCACATTCATGACCCAAACATCTTTGTCCTTCAAAGCCGCCGCAAATGAACCCAAATTTGCCTTCATATCCATCACATTCCGAATTGTGTCAGGCTTAATCTTACTGCTTAGCTTGCTCCAGTAATTATGAACTCGTTGTTGCCAAACTTCCTGCACAAAGTTAGATTAAAAATAGAAAGAAAAAAAAATGAAATTAACATATCCATAAGTTAAAATTAACTTAAACATAAACTAATTTGTAGAAATTCTCTCAAATTAGCTTTTCCAAAAACTCTTTATTAACTTAGGCATAAGCTAGTTCTACTTTATGGAAAAACTTATTTCAATTTTCTTTCTTATTTTTTTTCTCCTAGAAGTGCTTCTTAGAAAATATATCCAAACAAACCCATAGATTACTTGTAGTCTTCTAGAATAATTGCTTCCTTTAAAGCTTATTCATTTTGTGCGCATGATCATCTTAGCGTTGGAGAATAAAATTATAAAAAAACTTCACAAATTCAACTGATATAAAGAATTGTTCATATGATGTCAAATTTAGATTGTCTTTCAACTGTCAGTTAATTAGGCACTCATTGCAGAAAGAAAATGAAGAGGGAAATGACACCAAGGCAACAGATGGGGATTTTTCACTTGTTCATACTCAAATTTGTTCTAGTAATACAAGTGATCTCAGTTATCTTTATCAGGTGACTAATGCAGGGTTTGGTGCACCCTCCATCTTGTATTTTCTTTCATATTTTTCTTCTGTTGTTACAGTTAGTTGCAAGCTTATGTTGCTGCTTCCTTATGATTAACGAAATAATTCTATTGAAGATATTGGAAATAGTGAACAAGATAGATTTTAAATTACCATGTCCTTCTCAAACATTTCAGTAGAATACTGAATTTCTGCTAGACGAGGTGGTGGAGTAGTCAATCTAGCTGGCCAAGGAGCCAAACCACTTCCTTTTGCTTTGTGCATTTCTGCATAGAACAGCAAAATATATGGTTATACTAACATTAAATACAAGAGCTAAACACCAGCAATTTATGGTGCAACATGCAAAAATGTAGTAGTATCATCATATATTTCAGACTCAGGAAGAAATCATGGACCTATCAATTCAATATTGGCAATAGCAAAAGCAATTTCATAAAGTGAACTGTTCTAATCATATGTTTCATGTTATTCATAATCGTATTTTAGAACTACTAATGAATCTGAGAACATTTTCGTCAGCAGTATCTGGTATCTAGCAACTAAAAACATGAACTAGAGAATATCACTCACGATCTGAATAGCGTGAAATGCAAGTTTTCATTTTAACTCCCCAAACAGAATCAGGATCATCATCAGATCTGCAGAGTGGAGGCTGAGTTCCAGGCAATCTCTTTAAGTAGCAGCTATTTGTCAGAGGCTTGACCCAAATAACAGTCTGATTCCTCTTGGCAGCTATTTTCCAGCACATCCTCTCCACAAGAGCACTCATTTCTTTCCAAATTCTCCTATCCTCTTCATCCTGTGCATAGGCTTCAGGAGATGAGTACGCGAAATAACCTCCTGGCCTCAGTAACCTATCCAGCTCAAGGAGAAGTATACCATCTCTCTGAAGCCAATCAATTCTACAGCGAGAACAATGAGCAAATTCAAAAGATCTACTTGGATAAGGGAGTCTTAGGGTCCCTAACACTCCAAGATATGCTGGAATTCCTCTCTCTAAGGCAAACTGAATTTGATTTTGATGAACATCATTTGGTGCCAATGACATTGCTATCACATCAGAAGAAAGAAGATATCCTCCAAAGCTAGCAACACCACAACCAACATCAAGAACAGACCTGACTCTTCCCCCATTGTTTATATTATTGTTTGGAAAATTGAGCATCTGTAAGAACAATTGTGAATAAATATAATGTTCAAATACTCTCAATTAGGTGAATTTATAGACAAAATGTGCTTTTAGGTCTCTTAATTTTTGGTCAAAATTGGTGTTGAGTTACACAAAGTGGGTTGAAATTCAACAATTATATAAAATACAAGGATCAAAATTATTGTTTTTATATAGAAATTGAGATCAATTTGACTGAAAAATTAAGCAACTTAAAACACATTTTATCCATGTTTTATTTTCAACCCAGGTAAGGAGCTTACATTAGAGATTGAGGCAATGTATTTATCAGCACCATAATGGAAGTGGGTTCCTCCACCAGGAAAAACTATTTTTTCACCTTTCACAACCATCCAATTCTGGTCAGATTTTTCAGTTGCAAGATGTGTATGAGGTATATTTGCCTTCCATACCTGGTCTCTGCTTTTGGGCCACTTTATTGGAATCTACATTACCAAGAACAACATAAAAAACTAAAAGTTTAAGCACATAAAATTTCCATACACAATGAACTATCTTAGTTCCGTCTTATCTCTGGAGATGAAATGTCACCTTGTACCCGGGAGGAGGAGGAATTAAACAATTACAACGCCTCTCAGGTATAGGGCAGTGTCTCTCATAGTGCTCCATCAAAGATAAATCAAGCTTCAACCTTGTTTGGTATATTAGGTTTCTGTCCAGACAAGGAATCAGCTCTGATAGACGATCATCACAGACCTTAAACACAAGTTGAAAGTGTCATTCATAGTAGTAGAAACCAACATTCTAGGCTAGTGTAAAGGGAAAACATAAAACTTGTTCAGTTCAAAATCTTAATTTTAACTCACTGGAATGCTCTTTGGTATGACACTGTCCTCTCCTCCTCCAAGTATGGAGGAAGATTCATCGTCATCTTTGTCCCCTCCCAAACCAAAGTGTTTTAAAGATTTATCACCATACTCAACAGGAGATTCAGATGAATCATTACTCTGAGAATAAAAGTAGAAGAAAGCACCAACAATCACCAAAACCAACACAGTTATGACCAATCTTTTTCTTGAGTTCACATCTGCTCTTCCCTTTGTTATGCTTGCCACTGCAAAAGAATCACCTTTTTAGTATGACTTCAACTGCCACAACATCAAAAATCAAAAGCTGATACAAAATCTTCACACAACACTTACTTGGTCAAAATTCACTCACTCATGCCCCTGGAAGGAACCTATGTGACTCAGAACCACTAAACAAAAACTGCACAGAAAGTTGAAAAAAAAAATCACTGAAACAAAATAGCCCAAAAGAATAAGCATGTCAGAAACATGATTAGCTCTTTGTGGGACCTGCAGCACATCCCTCAAAAAAGAAACATCACTGTTGAATCAAACACACATTAATACTAATTTGAAAAAGAAAAAGTATTTTTGACAGAATGATAGTAGTATAAAAAATAAAAATAAAAAAAGGCACAGCAAAACCAAATCTATGTAATAATGAAAAAAGTTAAGAGAAGCAAGTGCAAGTGGCTCACTGGTTGGAAGAACAAGGAAGTGATAGAAAGAGTGCAAGTGGGAAAAACTTAAAGGAAAGGAAGATGAAAGAGAATCGCCGACAGGTGCCACTTGCCAGCTACTGACGTCAGTGTAGGGATCCCCAAAAGGGTAGGAGCCAACGGAAAGTGACTTAAAACACAGCACAAGGCCCTTCTCAAGGAACTCTACTGTAGTTTTATCTATTTTCATCTACATAATTAATGGTACATCACATAATATAATATAATAATATAACAAAACTCAACTACATATTTTTTTTTAAGTGCAGTTCTTTTTTTCATTCATAATTTTATTTTGATCATAATTATATTTTGATATTATATATTTATATTTGATGTAAGTCTCATTAATATATATTTATTTATATTATTAATATATAATTTTAATTTTGATTAGAGAATAATATCAATTAAATTTTAAAAATTATACATAAATTTTGTAATTATACCAAAAAAAATCCACACACTTACAAGATAATTGAATTTATTATAAATATGTTGATAAAGGTTTTATAATTTAACTTTGTTCATAAAAAGAAGACTTTGTTTTAGAAATACATGGTATTTGGTTCCTTTTCTTTTTCAGAAAAAAAAAATCACATATGTTACACAAAAAAATTTATTTACCTAAATTTAACAACAAAGTGCATTGCCTTGATTTGGTGCATAAATAGGGTAGGTCCGACTACCATGGCACCGAGTATTTTCAAATTTTCATTCAATTCAGAGAATGGGAGATAGTAGTGACAATGGAGAACCCCTCAACTTCAAGGGCCCATTTGACCATGTGACAATTTATTTATTTTTCCATCGAAGTCTTTTTTCTTTATTTTATTTTTTTTTCTTCTTCCAGTTTCTCAATTTTTCAGTTACATTAAATGATGTTTATCATAATGGATTTTTATCTAGGTTATTTGTTAATTGTGACTTGTCATTTTTTTAATCTAACATTGACTTTTTATGTCATCGTTTAATATAAAAAATGGAATAAAAATATATAATCCTCAATTAATTAATAACAAAGCCATTATTTGTGTAAAATAATAATAAAACCATTATTTATATACTTCACAAATATATTTTTGCAATATTGCTGCTAGTATACTGCATGCAGTGCATACCTCTGGCCATAAAATAAACTTGCGTGTTTCCTAGGAATGGCAAGGACAGCAATACCTCAAATTAAAATCAAAAGTGGCATATCATTATCATTGCGATTCTTGGCAAATATATTGGTAAAACGTTTCCAGCCATGTTTACCAGAAGGAGTAGGGCTTCCGAACAAGTTTGTCTTGTATAAAAACAACCTTTGTTAATGGGTAAGAAAAGAGAATGTGAAATAAAGTTTATTAACAAGGAATTTTCCAGTAAACTTTCTAGTTTCTAGTTGTTTTTTTTTTTTTTTTTTTTTTTTTAAAAGGGATTGGAAAAAAAGTTTTTTAAAAAGGAATTTTCCAGTAAACTTTCCAATTTCTAGTTTTTTTTTTTTTTTTTAAAAGGGATTGGAAAAAAAGTTTTTTAAAAAGGAATTTTCCAGTAAACTTTCCAATTTCTAGTTTTTTTTTTTTTTTTTAAAAGGGATTGGAAAAAAAGTTTTTTAAAAAGGAATTTTCCAGTAAACTTTCCAATTTCTAGTTTTTTTTTTTTTTTTTAAAAGGGATTGGAAAAAAAGTTTTTTAAAAAGGAATTTTCCAGTAAACTTTCCAATTTCTAGTTTTTTTTTTTTTTTTTAAAAGGGATTGGAAAAAAAGTTTTTTAAAAAGGAATTTTCCAGTAAACTTTCCAATTTCTAGTTTTTTTTTTTTTTTTTTTTTTTTTTTTTTAAATTTATGCACCACTACATAACATGTTTTTTATATTGGTTAGAATGACTATTTTATGTCTATTGTTGAAATGACATAGACATTACTATCGTAAAAAGTCTTAATTTTTAAAATTAGTTCTATAAAAATTGGCATAAAAATTTTAAATTTGTTTCAAAAATCCTTTTACCAGATATAATCTTGAATCCCAAATTCACCTCATACAATTCACAACAGCAAGATTATAGTCTCAATACTTAACTAAGATTTCACCTTTTAAGATAAAAAAAGATAGCAATTCTCAAGCATGACAATGACGACAAAATTCAAAACAACTTAAATCTCAGTTATCAAATTTTCAGATATTAGTCTAAAACAATGTTAATTTCATGTAAGTTTTGCATCGACATGTCCAAAACTGAAATGTGAGTACATTTTTCTAATTCGACACAGGCATTACACTAATCTAGCACAACAATGACAATGAGATAAGATGGTGGACATAATAAAGACTAGGTTGGTGGTGTTATTGGAATTGGAGATCGTGAAGTGCAAAGAGACAACGATAGTTCATATTACACAAAGGTTGGAATATCGAATTATTGAAAAAAGAGAAACTCTTTAAATTTGCATGAATACAAAATAAATTTAAAGTATTTTAAAAACACATTTTACATTGGTTATACATATAACCGATGTAAAAAAAAATATTTTTACATCAGTTATTCGTATAATTATTATAAAAATTCAGCTAAAATTGGTGTGAAGACGTTACAATTTTTTAAAATAATATCATTGCATCATTTCCTACATTAATTGTTAAACAACAAGTGAAAAAAATCATTGTAAATTATCATTATAGAATTAGCGATGCAATGACATCTTAAATTTTTGTGAAACTCACAACACAAGTAATTCAAAACTGGTACTTCAAGGTCAACATCACAATACTTCATTGATGGTGCATTTGGTTTATGAGAGAAGGAGAATGAGAAAAAAAAAAAAGGAAAGAAAAGGAGTGAACAAAAAAACTCAAGATGATTTTTAAATTGTTTAACAAGAATATGAAAGAAGAAAGAAAGAAAATTATGTGTACAAAATGACATAAATACCTTAAGTAACAATACATCAAATAAAAAGTTAGATATGACATAAACAAGGGTATTATTATTCTTATAATAAAAAAAGCATTACTTTTTTACCCAAATTAGGTAGATTGCTATAGTAGACGAGCTTGTTTTGAAAATTCTTCTCCCCTTGTCAGACACTATCTGAAAGGAAGGAAGAAAAGGAGAGCGCCCTATTTTTCATCATCTTGCAATATTTTCTTTGTAAATTTAGCATACCAAATGTGTGCTAAAAGTTCATTGGTTCCCTCAAATGGCATTCTAAACCTGATTTTTCTTGCCCTATATTACTGGTGTATTTAGTAGGGAAAAAAATATGGTGGATGAAAATAGGAGTGTGTGAAATAGATTAAAATAGGGCCAAATTTAAGGATGTCTAATTTGTGAGAAATAGAGGGGGGAAAAGGAAAGAGGTAAATAAGAAAAAAAAAGTTTTATGCGAAAATCGATTTTGTAGGAAACAATTGAGTGTGTGTTTGGTTTGAATTTATAAACGTAATTTTTCACTCTCTCTCCACGTTTTGAAACAAATTTACGTGGAAGTTACAATTTTTTGCTTCTCATGAACGTGAATTTTCACGTCCAAAAGCCGACGCAAACACGCACTGATTATGGAGAATGATAATGAAAACAATTGAGCACTTGTTGTTTTTTTGCCCGTGGAATATTTGATCATTAAAGTTAATATTTTTGTCCAAAGGTTTTCATGGGCTGTGTTCGTGTTTCCAGCCCAGTTTAGAGACGGTTGCAGCCTTTTTATGGTCCAAATGAGTTAGCCACTTTTTGGCTCATGATAAACACACCTCCACTCTCCTATAAGCACACCCCCTTTTAAAAAAAAATATATAAAATGTCTAAATTACCCTTAAAAAAAAAAATTCCTAAATTTACACCCCTCCTTCCTCGCACCCCCTTCCCCGCAAGCAGCACGGGCCGTACTGCAAGCAGAACGGCCCGTACTGCAAGCAGAACGGCCCGTACTGCTTGCAACACGGCCCGTTCTGTTTTCAGTGCTGCCCGTTCTTCAGCAAAACGGGCCGTACTGTTTTCAGTACGCCCCGTTCTGCAAGAAGTACGCCGCGTTCTTCAATCAGTACGGCCCGTTCTGCAAGCAGTACAGGCCGTTCTGCTTGCAGCAAGGGCCGTTCTGCTTGCAGCAAGGGCCGTTCTGGGGCCGTTCTGTTGCAGTACAGGCCACCGCGTCACTTTTAAAATGGCTACCTTATGACTGATTTTAAAACCCCGATTTTAAAAGTTATTTTTGTACTAATCTTTCTTTTCATAGAACAAGTAAGAGTCTTTCTCATACAAAATCACTTGCCGACATTGCGCACCCCTCTTCTTTCTCTTTCTGGCACTCCTCTTCTTCTTCTTCTTACTGTTACGAAAAGTTCTTTCCGGAATTATATAAAAATGTTCCGGAAAATACTTTCCATAATATTAAATTCTTATTCCGGAAAGTATTTTCCGGAAATATTTTGTTATATAATTCCGGAAAGTATTTTCCATAATATTAAAGTTACTATTACGGAAAGTTCTTTCCGGAATTATATGAACAATAATTTCTATTCCGAAAAGTACTTTCCGGAATGCTAATGACTGTAAAAGTACTTTTCGAAATGCTATGACTGTAAAAGAACCTTTCTTATGCTGATTATGGTGGGACTAGTCCTTTTTTTCTATTCAGAATGACTGTAAAAGTATATTGCTTAATAACATTGAGCGGAAAGAGGTTTTGGGAAGAAGAGGGGTGTGAAATGTGGGGTGCGGGGAAGGAGGGTGGGGGAAGGGAGGTGTAAATTTAAGAATTTCATTTTTTTTAAAGGGTAATTTAGACATTTTATATATTTTTTTTAAAAAAGGGGGTGTGTTTATATGAGAGTGGAGGTGTGTTTATCACCAGCCCCACTTTTTTTCTTCTTTTGGGTTCAATACAATAGTTCCCAATTTTATATTACAACAAGGTATTGGGTCTCCTAGCTCCTCGGCCCATTACTCACCTTATCATTTCTCCACTTTCTTATATTTCTAAGAAATGAAAGAAAAACTACTAGTCCTACATATATGTGGATCAACATGGATTCAACACAACAGTTGTAAATTATATATATCATGAATCTGTTTAAATTTATTTCATTAAATAAAAAATTCATCAATTTCATCCACGATTTGTTGTAATATTATGT